AAGTAGTTGTCATCGTTTTAGGTGTTCAGTAACACTAAGCTTAAAACAACATCGAGATATTGAGACACATATGAGTCAGTCAAATTATCTTCATGGTACAATTGAATCGATGAGTTTCAAAACAGATCATCTGCAGTGGATTTAATATAGAGTTGACTTGTTTTTGGAACTCATTCATTCAATTAAAAGTGCGAACAGTCAGTTAAAGATATATAACTAAGCACACTAATTCTTTGAATAAAAGTAAATGCTAAATGAAACATAATTAAAAAATGGGGAGAAATATTCGAAATTGGCTTAACGGAAAAAAAACGGATATAAATTAAATATTACAAAATTATTTAATACAATTGACAGATATTTAAAAATTATTATCAAATTGCCCTCATAGCACATCTAAAAGCACATACACATTTTGTAATGATGACTTTTCTTTTGTAGATGTAAAGCAGCGTGTATCATTTCGTACTCACTTGAAAGAATCCACTGATGATAACAAAAGTACTCCAAAAGTGGAGTCTACGGAAGCAAAAAAAGTTACCGAATGGTGTGAATGAGCGTGAGCTGAGTGTAAGCATTTTAGATTATTGAGATTTACATTTAGTTACAACATTTAAAGTGTATAGGATAGTTCGATTTGGTATTAACTGAAATTAAATGTCGAACATCCGAAAAAATTCTCCACACAATCCTTTGGTGATGAAATTTTGAAAAATTAAGCTAAGAATGTTTTAGTATGAATTTCTACCTTTGGTCTCAAATTCTGGTTAATTTGTAATACAACTTAATGCAATTTGATTTTATGCAATTCGTGGCAATTAATAGGTAGTACAACAGTATGGAATATTTCTAGAAGTGGTGATGATATGATCTATTAAATATCTTATATGCAAGAACAAGCTTTAATTACATCATCTTCTATAACACCTTTATTATATGCTTTCCATACTCCTTATTGGTTTTAAAGATTACGAGTTTTCCTCACCCTTTACCATGGTTTCAGCATACCCAACATTTTCCTCTCTCCAATTCATTCCATCTTCTTACAGAAACATACTGCAGTAGGGAAAAAGCAGGATTTTCTGAAACATTGGTAACGAAGAAAGGGAAGTGTGGAGAGTAGGGACATTTTTCTACTTATCAAGAATAGGCATATAGTCAGTCTTTTACTATATTATTTTCTTTTCTAGTTAATAAAATATTAATAATTAATCTAAAAATTATATTTATAATTATCTGCACTACTTTATCTAAAGCACCGGAATAAAGATAGGCTCATTGCATTTATTCTCAGAAGATTCAATTTGCTTGAATAATTCATCAGAAATTTTCTGCTTGAATTTAGGGCGTTGTATCTGGTTGTATTTTGCCTAAAAATCCCACANATTGTTAAAAATATCAATAGTTTGGAAGGAAATGGCTTCCCATGGTGGTCTTACTTTATATGCAGGTAAAATACTAAAATCCTCTAGGTTTAGGTCAGATAAAAGCTTTCTTACTCTCAAACCAAAGGTCGGTATTGCAGAGGGTCTGTTGCTAAACAATCTTTCATAAAATGGATTTATAACATGAGAAAACATGGGATGTGTATGATGGCTTTTGATATGAAAATAGTATCTCAATGTTAACTTATTCCGTTGCTGAGCAAGAGTTGGTTCATGATATAGAACGTTTAGACTTTTTATGGGTGATGTGCGAAATGCTCCTGTTGCTATGCGTATGCCGGAATTATGGATAGTGTCAAGATATTTAAGAACAGATTTTCTGGCTGATCCATAGACAACGCTACCATAGTCAAGTTTAGATCGAATGGTACATTTGTAAATTTTGAGCATAGCACCTGTATCTGCACCCCAAGAAGAGTTTGTCAAAACTTTAAGTAAATTTAATTTTAGTCCACAGGTTTTTCTTAAGTGTTTAATATGAGATGAAAAAGTGAGTTTAGAGTCCAAGATCAAACCAAGAAATTTTGTTTCGCTTAAAACGGGAATACGGAAGTTCTTGAGATATAGTCTAGGATCGGGATGGAGCCCTCGTCGTCGACAAAAGTGTATACTCGTTGTCTTAGTTGTTGAAAAATTAAAACCATTTAATTCAGCCCATAGGGATAATTTATTAATAGCGAGCTGCAATTATGCAATGATGACTTTTCTTTTGTAGATGTAAAGCAGCGTGTATCATTTCGTACTCACTTGAAAGAATCTACTGATGGTAACAAAAGAACTCCAAAAGTGGAGTCTATGGAAGCAAAAAAAGTTGCCGAATGGTGTGAATGAGCGTGAGCTGAGTGTAAACATTTTAGATTATTGAGATTTACATTTAGTTACAACATTTAAAGTGCATAGGATAGTTCGATTTGGTATTAACTGAAATTAAATATCGAACATCCGAAAAAATTCTCCACACAATTTTTTTTGGATGTTCGACATCAAATTTTAAAGTACATTACACAATGGTGTTTGCAGTGTATTTTTTTTCTTTGGTGATGAAATTTTGAAAAATTAAGCTAAGAATGTTTTAGTATGAATTTCTACCTTTGGTCTCAAATTCTGGTTAATTTGTAATACAACTTAATGCAATTTGATTTTATGCAATTCGTGACAATTCATAGGTAGTACAACAGTATGGAATATTTCTAGAAGTGGTGCTGATATAATCTATTAAATATCTTATATGCAAGAACAAGCTTTTATTACATCATCTTCTATAACACCTTTATTATATGCTTTCCATACTCCTTATAGGTTTTGAAGATTACGAGTTTTCCTCACACTCCACGCTTTACCCCTTCCCTTTACCATGGTTTCAGCATACCCAACACTTTCCTCTCTCCAATTCATTCCAACTTCTTACAGAAACATACTGCAGTAGGGAAAAAGCAGGATTTTCTGAAACCTTGGTAACGAAGAAAGGGAAGTGTGGAGAGTAGGGAAATCGCGTTACCTTAAGGAACATTTTTCTACTTATCAAGAATAGGCATATAGTCAGTCTTTTACTATATTATTTCCTTTTCTAGTTAGTAAAATATTAATAATTAATCTAAAAATTATATTTATAATTATCTGCACTACTTTATCTAAAGCACCGGAATAAAGCTAGGCTCATTGCATTTATTCTCAGAAGATTCAATTTGCTTGTATAATTCATCAGAAATTTTCTGCTTGAATTTAGGGCGTTGTATCTGGTTGTATTTTGCCTAAAAATCCCACACTTTTTATAAAATATTAATGTAATTTTCCTTTAACTCGGTTTATTTCAAAATTAAGGTGACATTTGGAAATAGCTATAGTTTTCAACAAGGTTACGTTATTTACTAACTCTTGACGAATTTATTTGAATTATGAGTTTTGAATTTATTTTGAGCATTGAGAAAATCGATTCCATTCAGCAAAATATGCAATAAGCAATGCTTTTTGACCTTCTAAATCGTTTTTGGTCAGCCCCTTACAAGCTATTTTCATACCATTACCTTAATGGTGAAATTCCTACACTGATGAGCTTTTAATATTTACCAACAGGACCTTCACCAACACTAATTTCCCTTCTCCACTAATGCATGATAAAATGAACTAATTGTATTAAAATTAAAATTATTACTGCAGAATATATGCATATTTCTTTTTAGAGTTTCAGTTCAATTTTTTTTCCGACAAATGGCGCAACTGATAGTGAACCTGAAAATTGAAGAGAAATAATTAAAAATCACGTCGCAAGTTTTCGAACCTTATAATACATGAAAATAAAATTAGAATATTTTTGCCATCAGTCACAATCACATGTTCTAGTGTTTTATTCTGTAATGTGATTTTTAATACATTTTCTTTGATTTGCTATCTATTACGGTCTCTGTCGAGCAATTTTGAAAGGAAATCTTGTTCCTTGTCGCTGGAAGAATTATTTTTTTAACCTCAACAGTTTTCATGTTTTTTAACTATTTTGATATTATTTTGAACTGTCAATTTTTCTTCGATTTGTTTCCTTTTTTTCATTTTTTTTATTAATCTGATTAGAATGCCTTGTAATACAAACCCTTACATGCATTACTTACAGTAGTACAAATCCTTACTTTACCTTTTGAATAAAGAAACAAAATTATGTAAAAATCAGTGAAGAAAAAGGATACAAAAAATAAAAGGCTTATTTCAATTTTGCACCAGATCGCCAAATTTTATTAATAATAATTACTAAATGGTGAGTAAGCATTGGTAGTCAAATCTTTTAATACGCCAATAAAAACATTCCGGTCAAAACTACCAGAATATGGTAGCATTTACCGTGTTTCTGCTCCATGGAAGTGCCAAAAGGCTCAGTAATTTTTACTGAAGCACTTTGGAATTGATTTTGGTAAAATTTAAAATAAAATATGGTTCTTATAGATGTGATAATATTGGGTGATTTTAAATTATATCTTCGAGTATGAAAAAAAAAATTTTATTCGGAAAAATTTATTTTAAAGTTTTGTATTTCTTACTAAATGTGTGCTATAAATTTGAAAACCAAAATTTCCTGTGATCCTTTCTTATGAAAACAAAAATTACCAAATAAATGTTTTAAAAACCATATATTTTTTTTATTTTTATTATCTGAATCATGGTTATTATCTTACCAGAAATGTCATTACCATACAGAATGGTAGTTTCACCAGATATTTTTCGTCCGTGTACTGTATAAATCCTGTAAAATTCCAAGAAAATCTATAAATAAATATAAAATCTTTGGACATATATTAAATCTTTAAACATACATTATATCTGTCATAAGCAGGTAAATTTTCAGACTTAAGAAACAGATGCAAAACGTGTTTTGTTAGTAAAGCTTCTGGGGAAATTGACATCAGAATTGTATTTGACAAACAGGTGGTTGGATTAGAAACTTTCTACTTTCCACTCAAAAATAGATGCCACAGTAGGTATTACAATCACGAGATCAAAACATATAAAACATTTTTCCTTGGAGCATGTGGTATTTGGTAGAAATTATTTCTTACAATCTTAACTTATTATACCGTCTTTACATTTAAAAATTAATATAACCGGTTCTTAAAACAATAAAGATTGGTAAGTGATTATTATGTCCATTTAATTTAAAAATTGAGTCATTATTTAATTGAAACTCTACATATGTTGTTTAAATAAATTATTGCATAATAATTCAAAATGGTGAAATTAAATTGTGCTTTTTATACAAAGGTAATCTCTAAATTTATGTTTATTCAATTACTTACATATGTTTTTTTTTTAAATTATTCTTTATTCTGCTTAAGAGACATTATTTTATTTATATATAAATACTAAATTGCTTAATACTATTTTATTTAAATATACTAAATTGTTCAATAACTTCAGAAGTTGTTCGATAAATATGAAAGTTTTGAAAAACAACAAGAGCATTTACATAAATTTAGGATGTTAATATTAAAAATAGATGAAATATATATTTGCAGAAATAAAACTTTTGTTGGTAGCTTTAAAAGAGCAAACGTAAAATGATCAAATTAAATTACTAAATTAACAATTAAATTTTCGATGTTGCATTCCAATAAATTGTAAAAAAATCTATTAACTAAAATTGAAAATTTTAAAATTTCAATATTTAAGAAAAAAATTAATTAGCTTGACATATCATTATTAAAATATTTTTTTAATAATTTTAACAATAAGTATCGTTTTAAAGTAATGTAAAAGAAAATAAATTCGATATTTTTGTCGCAGAATCTATATTTAATTTATTAAAGCGATGTCGCATGACAGATTACGAGAAAAACCTTCTTATCGACGAAATTTCCTCCCTTCTCTAAATTAATTTTTTTTTCTTTTAAAATACACAATATTTTTCTTTTTTTTTTAATTTATCACAGCACATTAAATGTTTATTATAGTAAAATGTATAATTTGTGTACGATGTCACTAGATCATAGCTCAAAAACAAAACAGATATCGTTTGTATTTAATCAAATATTCTTTCTAAGAAAACTGTACCGTTAATATTATGAAAAGCCATTTGCTAAAATGTCCTAATTTTAATTAAAATCTCAATTTTTTAAAATTTTCTTTTTAAACATGAAAGTTGAAAGCTTAATGTTATTTTAATTAATTTAATTATTGTAATCTATTCATGAGAGCAATACAAAAAAGAATGTCTTGTTTGAATAAATATATTTGAAACACGCTTTTATCTTAAGAATTATAATCTTTTTTAGTCTAGTCACAAGTGGCAGAATGAATAACTTTTTAATACGACTTGGTAAAAGTACGAGGACGCTAAATGTGTTAGTTAAATTTAGAATTAAATATTTTTTATAATATTGTATTTAAAAGTTTCTCAAGCTTTGCATAATCATACCAAAAACTTTTTTGTATGAGCGATATTTTAATAAACCATCCAGCTGTTTAAAAACATATTGTACAAATTAATACCGAAATGCAGAAACAATATTGAATTTAACATGAAACTCATATGTGTAAGAAATAATTTTCAAAGTTATAATAACACTATTCATTACAGTTTTGCACTAAACAAAAATGAGCAATGCTATCAAAATAATGCAAACGCATTGACACTTTTAGAAGTTATTGTGAAAACTAATTATAAAATCTCTTACATTAAAACAATATGAATAAAAATATACAAATATTATGAATAAATAAACAATATTTTTCCAGATTCATGACATGATAATTCATTGCCTGATTATAAGCACCAGTCGCGTCAAAATATATAACTCGGAAATAACAGTCAACATGTGTCAAGAGCTCAAAAATAGGCGCCCATTTTCAAGACTTGCCAGGCTTGAATGAGAAGAAGCAAATGTGATTTGAAATCTAAAACGTAAAGTTGTCAACAGAAAATGGAAAAATAAAGATGAGAAGCAAAACTATAAAAATCACAGCAACCGAGAGAGAGAAAAACTTATTTTTAAAAAATAATAAAGAGAAACGTTTCTTGATCTGTTTATCATTTTTTCTCTCTCTCGGTTACTCTGGCTTTAATAGTTTTGTTTCTCATCTTTATTTTTCCATTTTTCGCTAGAAACTTTACGTTTTATACTTAAATTTCTTCTTCTTTTTTAAGCCTGGATTAGTTTATTTTTTTATATCATTTTCTTTTAATTTTATTGCTTATTAAATTATTTTCCTAATTATTTACTTATTTTCTTTTTATTTTCGCTTCTGCGGTTTTTACAGTTTTATTTATTTATTTTTTTTTTGTTTTTGCCACCTTTATTTTTCATTTTACATTGGCAACTTCAAATTTTATGCTTCAAATCACTTTTGTTTTTCTCTCACTCTTGACAAGTCTTGAGAATGGGTTACCTATTTTTGAACGCTTGAAACATGTCGACTGCTATTTCCTGAATGCATATTTTTTAATTGAAATTTGTACTCAGGTAATATATTTCCGATTTGCTTTCCTTTGATTATTTTTTATGACACTTAATTATATATTTTGCCTAGTAAAAATGGAAAACATGCCTCTATCTCATGACTATGGTGCAAGCACAAAATCTTATGATTCCACAAAAGTTACAATAGATAATAATCGTCTTCAAGATATTCCGGAGCAAAGAGCATCTTCGGAAAAGCAACCGTCCGAAACGAGATCTTCCAACACAAGAAGGCAACTATGGAAGAGACGACACAGCAGCGAAGGATCCATGATACACATAACAGGCACGGGAACATTGCTTGAAGAATCCCTCAATTGCGGACAATGTTACAAGGGTAATTTCTGGCAGAGTAAGTTTTAAGTAAATGCATTTACATAAAAAAAAAAAAAATTAAAAAAAAATAAAAAAACAAGAAAGGTAAGATTGTAGCACCCACCTCCAACATAAGTATATTCGGGATTATTTCATGATCCGTTGCCGCTAAAGATTCCCTCCAATTCAGGAGAGGAGATGCAGATAATTAATGATCGTGGCATTTATTAAAACCATTAAAATACAATGTACAGAATGGCAACAGTTTCCGAAGATGACGATGAAAACATCATAAAAAAGATTTGAAGTTACAAGTAAAACTTACAGAATATACAACGCATGTTTAATCCAGTGAGGGAGGCGGTTTTTGACGATATGGAACAAATGGTCTCTTTAAATGAGGTCAAAATCCAAGAGAAATGCGTGTAAACAAGGTAGAATGAGACAGGTTTGTAAAAGATATTCAAAAACTAAAGTCAAGTAATGTTTAAAGTTGACCAAATTTGGTACAAGGATGACCAAGAAATAAAAAAAAGAAGCTAAAACACCAAAGGAAAGATTCTAAAATCCCAAGGTAAGCCTGACAAAGTTAAACCTAACGAAAGCCCCAACAAAGGATTAGGCAAGTAAGGATTAAAAGTTGATAATAAAAGCCCAGAATAAAGATTCGGCAAGTAAAGATTAAAAGTTGGTAATAAAATCGAAAGTAAATTGATAAGAGGGGCTAAAATCAATATACACATAAAATGGCTAAGTTAAAATATAACAAGATAAGATAACATAGTGGAGATTAATTAATAATTAATAAAATAATTAGTAAAACTTGAGTCCAATGTATTGATAAGTTAGGTATCTTTGTTTATTGGGGCCAGCAGAACATCTAAAGTGATCTTGATTATATTTTTGATGATGTTCCAACAGGCCTTTCTATTCTTGCGCATTTTATGTGTACAAATATATTATTTATAACATATTATTTGCAGATATTGTACTGGAATAAAATTTAAATTTAATTATTATTTATCAATTTTAATTCTTCATGATGTTAATTAAGCTAAATACACTTTTTTATACTAACTTCGAATTCTTTTAAAAAGACTTCACTAAGTTAATATTTAAATTTTATTTATTCTGTACTATCAAATGAGATAATTTTCATTAAATAATCACACTAAAAACTCAAACTTACAATTAGTTCCTTTAATATTAAGGATAATATATAGTACTCTAGAGTTAAAACTACTTTAATCACACATAAACATAAATACAAACAGTTTATTGATGGTAATAGTATCAGGAACTTGCCTCCTATAACTAAATATAAGCCTAAAAAGAAACAGTGTACAATTAGTAATATTGTACCATCTATGAGAATATATAAATACCATTCCTTATAAATTAGTTTAACTATTATTTTATTACTTTGTTCAACAGATTGATAAATCTACAAAGTACATCCATCCAGACTAATTTTTCAAAAAAGAAAAAAAGAGCATAAATTTATTTGTATGTTAATGAATATTAAATCAAAACTGCTGTTTATACTAATACCTGCTAATGAGCATTATATTTCCGCAAACACGACAGTGACTTGCTCTATTTATTCGCCTTCAAATTATTCAATTGCTCTTTGATTATTATATCGCATGTTAGCTACTAGCAAATTTTGCTGTTTACTTGCTGTGAAATTACACAACCATTCCATGCATTTTGACTAAAGTTTAGAACAGCCGTTATGAGTAACGTTCTCTATTTGCTCTAAAATTATGCCCCTGTTATTGGCTCTAACACCATTTTAGTTTACCATAGCAAATATTGATCGTGATCTCTATTTGAATTCAAATTATGCAACTGCTATTAAATAATTTATATTTATTATAAATAAAAGAATTTTACAGTAGACTCCGGCACACTGATCGTCCCCTCAGCACCCAAAAATTGTTATGGCTCTCTTTGCAAACCATACTTGCTTCATTCGCCACTAAATTGAACCAGTTAAAAAAATTTCGAACGTAAGATTTTAATTTAAATCAATTAGTAAAACCTTTGAAACTGATTATTTTTGAAAAAAACTTTTAAATTTTAGTCAATAATAAGCTATTGCGAAAAAAATTAAAGTGAAAAAAATGACGTGTAATAGAAGAAGCAAAACAATAATCTTACTTTAAAAAGTAATTACTATTAAAGATACACAACCTTGTTAAAAACACAATTATAATTTTTAGGATTGGAAATATCACCGTAAGGCTGTCAAATGACCTAGAACCCCTGAATTGCAGCTTTAAAATGGCCTAACTCTTGAGAGACCAACGTAAAGTTGTCTTGGACAAAATACTGGTAGAGCCGGAACTAAACTGATTTTTTCAAACGTCTGACCTCGTAACTTATTGGTAGTCATTGAGAAGATCAGGTTTATTCAGCCTATATAAGTATATTCAAAGCATAATATGGAACAGTGGTTTCTAAATAGTGTTATGCGGAACCGTAGGGTTCCGCGGGCGGGTCTCAGGGGTTCCGAGAGTTAAGAAATTTTTTGACCAGTTATGATTTTTGAAATCCTGTAATTAAATTTATATTCAATTAATAATTCATTTTTTATTTAATAATTGCGTTACTTTTATAAAATTATTTTATTAAAATGCTTAAAGAAAAAAAAATCAAAACAATGTTTTTTTTTCGAATAGCAATAAAGTGAATGAATTAGGAAAAGGATATATGCCTTTATGAAAACTTTTAGCACTATTTCAAATCGAATAAATGCAATCAATAGTTAAAAAGTATGTTTCTCTGATAATCATTCTTAACTTTTCTTTCTTCCCTTTTCGTTCTTATTTTAATGGTTTTAATTTCGTTTTTATTTTTCTCTATCGTTTTCAGTTTAAGCATGAACTAAAATTAAATTAAGAACTAGACTAGATACCTATACAGAACTGTTTGACATAAAGCCAAACCTTAAGACTAGTATTGAAAAAACGATAGGATGAAAAAATTACATTCTTCATTCATTCACTAGATATTTTCAACATAATTAACGAAAATTAAATTATTATATATTTTCAAAATAATCAAGGGTCTCTCGTTAATTAATATATTCACAATTATTAATGAAATTTATTTATTAAGTCTCAGTGTTCCACCAAAAAAAGGTCAACAATTTAGGTTTTCACATCCGAAAAAAACTCAGTTTGTTTCAGCGTTTCGTTATCAACAGGAAAAAAAAAAGGAATACTACGCAATTGCTGTAATTTCTTCCGCAGTTATAGTTTAAAATATAAACGGCCATGGATCGCACTGTCTATTAGCCTTCAAATTATACCGCTGCAAATAGCTCTTACGTAATTTTAGTTTAAAAATGCTGTTATATATCTTGTCATCTATTTGCATTCATATTATAAGACGCATTATTTATTTTACATTTATAATTGATTGTAGCAGTCATGGTACACATGGTCTATTTGTAGTCCAGATAAGCTATTCCTATTATTTCTCCTGTTTTTATAATCTATACATCTATACATCTATACATAATAATAAAAGCGGCTGTGTGTGTGTGTGTGTGTGTGTGTGTGTGA